AGACTCAGGATATTATAAACAAGCAAACAACTTAAAAACAAAACACCAGGGACTTTTCTTAATAAAGTCCATTTAGTACTTAGAATTAGTCCCCCTTCAACTTTCCTCAGTAAATCCTTAAATGCTTGTTAAAACACTCCTATAAGTGTGCTCACTGCTCAGGGATCAAAGAAATCCTCTCCGCAGCGTGGGGCCTCTTAAGCAGCAAAATCTCACTTTCTCTGACAAAAAGTCTCAGCTTTGAGCTGAAGGAGTGAAATCAAGAGCCACAACTAATAGACAGGACCTGCGAGGGAGAACTGCGAGGGAGGCAAAAGCATACAAAAAAAAAAAAAAACCTACCACAAAACCCTTACACTGGTCTTTTAAAATCAGTTTTTGTTATATAATGGCCTAATCGAGGAGATTAACTCTCTGCCAGACCTGCATAGCCTGGGATTGTGTGCTTAAATCAGTGGTTCCCAACCCTTTTGTGGACCAGAGCCCACTTTGACCAGGGACCACTCTCCAACGTTAGTACCAAAAGGGGTGGGACCAGTCCATTCTGCAGAAATAAAATAAAATAAAGAGGAAGGAAGTTCGCAGACCGGATTTTTGTTCTCGTGGCCCACTGCAAGGCTGCAGCCCACAGGTTGGGAACCACTGGTTTCAATTAATGCCACTGTCCAGTACCTTTTGTACCTGAGCTAAACCCTTAGCAAAATCATATGCACCAACACCAGAAATGATAGAAAAAGAAAATCCATTAGATGTTTTTGGAAAATGTATCAGAGGTTGGGTTGCTGTGAGTTTTTCGGGCTGTATGACCATGTTCCAGAAGCCATACAGCCCAAAAAACTTGCAGCAACCCAGTGATTCCAGCCATGAAAGCCTTCGACAATAAATTGTATCAGAGGTTTCACTTCAAAAATTACAGGACATCAATGACCTATACCTTGTTGCATTTTTGGTAACTAGGCCATACCAAAGTCACAGTTCAAAAGTGATTCAGGGAATGATGAGAAAGGATGCACCAGACAGCACCTATAATCCATGCCCTGCCGTGTTCCTCCTGGGGTGTTCAGATAAAACTTCAGGGAAAAATTAATGCTTTCAGCACAAAGCAGGAAATCCCTGCTTTGTGCTGACATAGTTTATCTACTGGAAAGACTTAGGACTTTCAGAAGACCTGTGTCTTTCTAGGAGCAGGAACTGTGTAGATGAAACAGGGGATCATGATGTGTAGATGGGCATCTTCCAGAGCCCATCTACACATCTGTCTCAGGTTTCTTGGGCATCCAAAACAGCCCCTCTCCCAAAATCCCTTTTAAAGGCCTTTAAAAAAGAAACTAACTCACTGGACCGCCTTTTCCCCTTCTCTGGAGTTCTCCTGGTTCATACCAATGACACACCAAGAGAAGGGGGAGGAGGAAAATTGCTCTTGCCCCCTCCCCCTTTCTCTTGGCATGTCATTGATATGACTCCAGGAGAGCTCTGGAGAAGGGAAAATGGAGGCTGGGTGACTTATTTTCCTTTATAAAAGGCTTTTAAAGGGGCTATCTTTTGTATTCTGTGCTCTGCTGAAAAGCCTGGCACTGCATGTGGACATCCCCCCTAGAAAAGCACACACTTTTGGGGTGTGTTTGTGTGGACTAGAACCTGGGAACAATCACATTTTAACCACACAATTGCTCCTAGGTTAACGGGCTTTGCAGAATCATCCAGAATTACCTTATTGTAGCAATAAATAACATTTTCTGATTCTTTATAAAAACCTACTTATAGAGGGTATACTGAAGCATTGGGGGAGGGGGTGTATTCTGACATTATTTCCTCCAGATTTTGTGTCATTCTCTGATCAATTGCTTCTTTTTAAAAATATTAAAATAAACACACACTAGCTATTTCATCACACAAGAGAATGAATCCACTTTTAGTCTGGTTTCTGCCTCCTGCAGAATTCTGGAGAAGCCTTTGCCTTTGTCTGTGTGTTTGTGTTTCATTGTATATCATTGTAATAAGGCATTGAATGTTTGCCTGTGTTTGCTTATATATACTGTAATCTGCACTGAGTCCCCTTGGGAAGAAGGGCAGAATATAAATAAAGTGTTATTATTATTATTATTATTATTATTATTATTATTATTATTATTATTATTAAACTAGTAATATGCACATCTGAAATTAAACAACCACCAATGCAAGTGACAAAAACATTTTGAACCTTCTAGATACTACTAGCTACTTCCAAAATGCATTGAGGGATGATTTCCCTTCAACAGCTTATGATTTCCTTGATTGCAAAATATACAGAATAGTTTTCAGTGGGATACTGGTGAGACAGACTTTGCAAAAAGAGGCTTCTTTCTTAGAAGCTTTGTTAACTGCAGTGTGTCTGATATTTTTTCCCCTTTTATCTCTCCCTCTTTGCATTTATTAAAGCTCAAGAGCGGTAGGTGGCCTAGGGAGATACCAGCTATCTAAGGCTACTCTACTGTCTATGGAACAATGTGGCTGACCTCCAGCTTAAATGTTGACACAAAGCACTGTTTTCTCATCTGCTGGTTTTAAGTAAGTGACTGTCAAAACATTGTCTATTCAGTCTGGGTTCATTGGTAATACTGAAAGCCACCCATGTGATTAATAAGAGGATTGTGACATCTAAAACATTTGCTGCTTTTAAAACTCTGTAATTTTCAGTTGGAAAAATGCTTAATATTTATCCACCTGACCCATCCATTAATAGTTCTGTTAATGCATTATAATTTTTATAATAGTATGACATTATGTTAGTGTGGAACATTATCTTGAGGTCAATCATCAAGCCTCGCTAGACCTTTCAAATAGTTGCAATAATTATGCATAGATAAAACAGTTAAGATCTGAACCAAAGAATAATCCCTAAGGCAACAAGTTACCTTTTATACTCTGGCCATATGCAACAGAGCTTTGATTGCCCTTTCTCTTTTTAAAGTGCTTTTAAAAGCAGGAACATAGCACAAAAGAGGGGAAATGCTGAACACTTTCATCTTATTATTCAGTCATTTATTCACAATATTTTACAGCTTGAATGTAATACAAATAGCTTGCCTAATGAAGCTAAAGTCGAACAAAAGTTAAGTTTCTTGAACAGTAAGTTTTCCCACCCTATTCCCTCATTATGAAGTATTCTAGACCCATATTTGAGAAGAAAAAGCATTAAGAGCACTGATGTCGGCAACGCTTCGTTTCCTCCTTTATTACCTGTCCTTTATAGGTCATTTTAGAGGAACTGACCTTTGGGAACGTGAAGGGAACTGAAATGTGAGAAACATGGAAATAGACTGATAATTTGTCAGAAATTATGAATCCAAGGGAAAACCATGGGATTAGTGGTAGACAAGAGCTCTAACTTAAACAACCAGACAAGCTAACTTAAACAACCAGATTAGTGGCAGACAAGAGTTCTAACCTAACTGTTGTAGGTAAAAACCCACAAGAACCCATGAGTTCTAACTCATCAGAACAGGGATGCTAGATTGTGAACAGTACAGTGTCTACATCCAGGGAAGTCATGCTACCCCTCTATTCTGCCTTGGTCAGACCACACCAGGAATACTGTGTCCAATTCTGGGCACCACATGGAATCATAGAAACATAGAGTTGGAAGAGACCTCATGGGCCATCCAGTCCAACACTCTGCCAAGAAGCAGGAAAATTGCTTTCAAAGCACCCCGCAACAAATGGCCATCCAGCCTCTGTTTAAAAGCTTCCAAAGAAGGAGCCTCAACCACACTCCCGGGCAGAAAGTTCCACTGCTGAACGGCTCTCACAGCCAGGAAGTTCTTTCTAATTTTCAGATGGAATCTCCTTTCTTGTAGTTTGAAGCCATTGTTCCAGGGCAGCAGAAAAGAAGCTTGCTCCCTTCTCCCTATGACTTCCCCTCACATATTTATACATGGCTATCATGTCTCTTCTCATCCTTCTCTTCTTCAGGCTAAACATGCCCAGCTCTTTAAGCCGCTTCTCATGAGGCTTGTTCTCCAGACCCTTGATCATTTCAGTCGTCCTCCTCTGGACACATTCCAGCTTGTCAATATCTCTCTTGAATTGTGGTGCCCAGAATTGGACACAATATTCCAGGTGTGGTCTAACCAAGGCAGAATAGAGGGGTAGTATGACTTCCCTGGATCTCGACACTATACTCCTATTGATGCATGCCAAAATCCCATTGGCTTTTGAAGGGAGATGTTGACAATTTCGTTAAAATTACCTTTATGAAGCGACATCGAAGCTTTTTTAAAAACCGGAAGTCCCTTTGCCCTTCTGAAGCTTTTTCCACCATTTTTGTTATGACTCAGGAAGTGAGTCGGAAATGATTCAGCTTTTCCCTGCTTCTGGTCCCTGGCCTCAGCTCAAGCCAGAGAAGCCAGTTTTAAACCAGAGAAGGAAGGAATTTCCTCCACTTGCATTTCCCCACTTCTGGAGTAAAAAAAAAAACTACTTTCAAAGTAAAGACCACCCAATGAATCAGGAAATAACATTTCAAAGCATTAACAAAAGGATTCGGAAGTCTCAAAAGTTTTGAAAAGTTTTGAATTTTTTTTCTGTGAAAATTGGAATTGACTTTAGAATCGAACCACCAGCACCCCTACATCTGAAACGAGTTTCGAACCATTTTTTAAAAAATCAACCTAGCCTACTGTATACATACATGCTTTATACCGGAGTCCTTAATACCACTTGATCGTGTATCTGAAGAGGTGGAAGGAAGCTCTTGCTAAAATAAAAAAAACAATCTTAAAGGTACTGCCACGTTTATTTTTTCCCTTTCTTTCCTTTCCTCCTTTTCATGCTTCAAGAGCTACTTCAAGAGTATGGCTACTAATTTGCATAACTGAAACATAGATACCGCATTACATCCATCTTGATCCACTCTGTGCTTAATGAGAAATTATGTCTGGCTGCAGAAAAGATATCAATCCCATATTTAATTCCATGTATATAAACAAAAGGTCATGAAATTGATCCAAAGCCAGTACCTTTGTATTTGGTCACCACCGCTGAGTTCATGCTCTGAGGTTCTTGGAAAGTGACAGTGAGCGATGTACTGCTTGTTACCATAAGGCAGACGTTGGTTGGTGCCTCTGGGGCTCCTGGGAGCAAAGAGAAAATATTGTGTCTCGAGCGGAACAAATGCCTTTCAAACAGTGCCTGGCTTATCAAAGAAGCAAGTCAAAACTCTGAAGCTATATATGGCAAGCTTTGATTTAAAGATGTTTGCATTTGTCTTGTGAACACTAACAACCAGTCCCTGCTCATGAAATCTGATAGACACCATTTGTTTCTCTAGTGGCTTCATCTCTTTTGAATAAAGGCAGCATCTCTCCTCCATCTAACCCTTTCTCGATACATATAATGGGACAGATAAAAAACTAAGAAGCTCACAACATTTTTCCCATTTCAGTACTTCATTCACATTTTTATTAAATAAGTAATCTTATCCATATTACCCAACTTAAATAATATTTTGTGAAAAAGGTATTATTGGTTATGTTATTTACTGGGTTGCTGTGAGTTTTTCTGGACTGTATGTCTATGTTCCAGAAGCATTCTCTCCTGACAGTTCACCCACATCTATGGTAGGCATCTTCAGGGGCTGTGGGGTCTGTTGGAAACTAAGCAAGTGCGGTTTATATATCTGTGGCCATTCAGTGCTAATTAAGCTGGCCAATTCACACTTGCCTTAAGCAGACAAGAGTTCTTTATCCCACCGTGGACATTCCACAGATATATAAACCCCACATGCCTAGTTACAGATACAGACAGTAGTTTGAGAAGACCAGAATGAGAAAGGGAAAGACAGAAAAAAATAATTTGCTAATTTCTAATTTGTAACATTAGTGAATGTGGGGTGACAGAGAAAACTTTAAAGGAATGCCACATAAAGAATGGAGCAGTAACTTGAATAAAGGTTGAATGTTTTAATTGATCAATCTCCTGTTTTTTACATGATTGTTAGGAGGCCCCAATGGTGCAATGGGTTAAACTCTTCTGTCGGCAGGAGTGCCAACCGAAAGGTCGGCAGTTCGAATCCGGGGAGTGGGGTGAGCTCCTGTCTGTCAGCTCCAGCTTTTCATGTGGGGACATGAGAGGACCCTCCCACAGGATGGTAAAACTTCTGGGCATCCCCTGGGCAACGTCCTTGCAGACGGCCAATTCTCTCACACCAGAAGCAACTTGCAGTTTCTCAAGTCGCTCCTGACATGAAAAAAAAGCTGATTGATTAATTAATACAAGTCATTTCCTAAGATGGTCTTATTGTAGGATTTCTTCCTTGGCATGATTTGTCAGACAGGCTTTACCTCTGCCTATCTCTGAGGCCAAGAGGCAGTGTGAATTGCCCAGGTTCACCCAGGGCCAGGCTTGTAGCTGGGGGGGGGGGGGGGGCTTCAGCCCCCCCCCCCCCGAAATTCTCATGGTGGTTCGCGAAAAGGCCTTACTGGTGCATTATTTAAACTGTTATGTTTATTCATATCATGATCTGATCACCATACTCAATATATCCCATATGCATGAGGGTATTGGGGTAACGATACAAAAGGTTTGCTAGGCTAGACCCTCTTTCACTCAGACTCAGCCCCCCCCCCCCGAATCAAACTCAGCTCCCCCCAAATCAAAATCCTGGCTACGGGCCTGTTTCCACATTAATAAGCCCTATATCCCAGAATATCAAGGCAGTAAATCCCACATTATTTGCGTATGGACTCAGATAACCCAGTTCAAAGCAGATATTGTGGGATTTTCTGCCTTGATGTTCTGGGATATAGGGCTGTGCGGATGGGCTGCCAGTGGGTTTACATGGCTGAGTTGGGATTCCAAGCCTCATCTCCAGAGTTGTAGTCCAATGCTCAAACCCCTACACTGCAATAGCTCTTAATTAATCTACTACATGTAAATAACGATGGACATTAGTAAAACCTCAGTACCAAATATTTAGCTCAAATAGTGAAAGAAGTGTGATACTTAATAAACCACAGCCCAGTTAGAAAGAAACAATTTGTAATACATGGGAAACTGTCTCTGTACCAATCGGGTGCAGGTAGTACTCATTTATCTATCTTAGTACTGACTGCTTCTGACTGTCAGCATACAATACATGAAACAAAGATCTAGGTGTGATTTGTTTTTTTGGTAACATCAGCCCTGAAGGTGATGAACCTGATTGTAATAGATGTAAAACAAAAAGGCTGCTGGGGTTTTTTAAGGGAAAGAGTCACCCCTCTTGATTTCAGCACAACAGATTTTAATAAAGTTTATTTATTTGTTTATTTATTTATTTATTTATGAAAAGCGTCATTTTCTCCTCTCAGCTCACTAGGGCTCTGAACACTAGGTTTGACTGATGAAATAATACAAAACATTCCCTTAAAACAGATTTAAACAAGTCCTAAAAAAGATTTTGATTTGGGCCCCTTCTACACTGCCATATAATCCAGATTAACAAAGGAGATAATCAACATGATGTGCTTTGAACTGGATTATATGAGTCTAGACTGCTATATAATTCAGTTCAAAACAGATCATCTGGATTTTATATGGCAGTGCAGAAGGGAACTGTGATGCTCGAAATAGTCTCAAAATAGCAGTAGGGACCTGAATCCTTAGATCAGGGGTCCTCAATCTGGGGTCCCCAGGTTTTTGGCCTTCAGCTCCCAGAAATCCTAACAGCTGCTAAACTGGCTGGGATTTCTGGGAATTGTAGACCAAAACACCTGGGGACCCCAGGTTGAGAACCACTGCCTTAGATGGTCTCAAGTAGAGTAGACCCATTGAAATAGTTGTTGAATCATGATTCAGTAGTCAACTTAAGTAAACTCCATTGATTTGAAATGATAAATAGAATTGACTCCAGATGCTTCTATAATCTCATAAGAAAAATGGCTTCCTGCCAACTCCAAAAAACCCCAAAACCCAGACAATTGTTTAAGCGTTCTTGAACTTTACCATTCTTTTTATTTTATGTTTAGGAAAAACTCTCTACCTGCTCCAGTTTTTCTACCTATATAATTAAGCTTAACTGCTCAGTAAGAATGCTATTGAGGAATAATTGCAGATTGCTGCACTATGAACTGTGTGGGTATTCTTCTATTTAATATTGGCCACACATTCCCGTTACCCCCATTTGTCCTTACTGGCATGCTCGTAGCCTGATTTCATGCGCTTGTAGAGCCGGTATCTCCATTCCCAGGCTTTCAGTTGCTTCTCTTTCTCACAGCTGTCTGTACCCAGACCTTCGCTCATCACTTGTGCAGACAGCTCACTGACTCGTTGCTGAGCTTCTTGAACTAAGTTGTTCAGGTGGATCGACCTGCTCTCCATATCAATAACTGTCAAGAAAAAGGAACAGTATTAAATCCCAGGAAATTATTGAGAAAAATCCTGAATTTCATCAGTATTCAGGGCAGGGTGGACATGACATCTGGATATTGGTTATTGTGTCAATTAAAACCATTGGCCAAGTTGATACAGCTGAGATGGAAGTGGTGAATCCCAGACTCTTCTGTGAGCCTGCAGTAAATCCTAGAGGATTTCAAAATGTGTCACTCACAAAGGTGAACCCAGAAAGAAAAGATGATGGCTGCTATCTTTTTAAAGGTGGTTAATATGTTTATTTATTTACCTTATTTATATCCTGCCTTCCTCAAACCCGAAGGGGACTCAAGGTGGCTTTACATATAGGGAACTATCCAATGCCTTGAAACAACATACAATTAAAATAAACATATAAGTTAAAAATTTAAAATTAATGCACATTAAAACATTTAAAAATATTGCATTCACTATTAAAATCATGCCATCCACAATCATAATCCGGGGCTGTTCCAATAATCATTACACATATTCCATATCTATTATTGCACTACAGTTAATCTCCAAAGGCTTAAACCAAAAGCCAGTTTTTCACTTTCCTTTGGAAGGCCTGGAGGGAGAGGGCTGATTTAATGTCTCTGGGGAGGGAGGTCCACAGCCGAGGGGCTACCTCTGAGAAGGCCCTGTCTCTCATCCCACCAGTCACACCTGCGAGAGAGGTGGGGCTGAGAGCAGGGCTTCCCCCGATAATCTTAATCTCTGAGGTGGTTCATAAATGCATAGAGTTTAAGTCTACAGATGACTAAGAATAAATAAATAAATTTACACAGCCTCTAAGTTCAGAAGCATTGACATCTGCAGCTGGGGAGAAGAGGGTCTCATAGGAAGCCTTTCGAGAAGTCTGTAGGACTAGTGCTGATCCAGAGAGCTTTTTTGGTTCTTAATTCACAAGCCAAATATGGTGTCCAATTAGGGATCCCCATTAATGCCCTGTTTTTGCTGCCATCTAATTTTTATGACATTTCATTGCCATTAACAACCAGGCAAGCCACAATGTATACTTTGAGCACTGGGTTCAGTTTGTTGGGTCATGCATTGTGTAGATTTGATTTATGGGATTACATACTATTATCACCTTTAAAATACCAGTATAGTCTGGGTTGTTGTAGGTTTTTTGGGCTGTATGGCCATGTTTTAGAAGCATTTTCTCCTGATGTTTTGCCTGCATCTATGGCAGGCATCCTCAGAGGTTGTGAGGTCCGTTGGAAACTAGGAAAATGGGGTTTATATATCTGTGGAAAGTCCGGGGTGGGAGAAAGAACTCTTGTCTGTTGGAACTAGGTGTGAATGTTTCAGTTAGCCACCTTGATTAGCATTTGATGGCCTGACAGTTTTTATCTGTGGCTTGTTCCTGCCTGGGGGGATCCTTTGTCAGGCTACACAGAGAAGCCATTGAAATCCACGAGCATGTGGACAATTTCAACAGAAAGGAAGAAACCATCAAAATGAACAAAATCTAGCTACCACTACTAAAAAAACCTCTAAAATTATAACAGTAAATAAAGAACAAAACTCAAACACAGGGGAACTCCAGACAAGAAACAATCAGGAACAGCTAATCACATCTCAACAAAAGATTCTCCCAGGCAAGAACAAGCCACAGCTAAAAACTGTCAGGCTGTCAAATGCTAATCAAGGTGGCCAATTGGAATATCACACCTAGCTCCAACAGACAAGGGTTCTTTCTCCCACCCTGGACATTTCACAGATATAGAAATCCAATATTCATAGTTTCCAACAGACCTCACAACCTCTGTTTTTTAAAATTCCATTTTTACTTTGGGTGCGACTTCTAAGACTGATTAAATCAACAGTGAAAACAAACACAATAAAAAAGTTACCGGTAAGCAACACAACAAAAATGACAGTAGTCTAAAAGCTTTTGAGACCAAAGAGGGAAACACCAGGGGCACAATCAAAGAGCAACAGCAGGTCTGATGTAGAATCAAAAGAGCAAAGCAGTAAAATAGCTCAGGCACAAATTGCTCAAGAGAAATGGGTCATTTTGACCTATCAGCTATGAGTGAAAATCCAAAGCAAACAGGCAAAGGGGGATACTATAAAAAAGGTCACCATCATGAAATAGCTTGTTGGTTGCCATCAGATCTCTAAAACTGAGAATACTCAAAGAAAATTTCAAAGCATGGGCAACTAAATTTTGGAGAAGATCACATGTGAAGAGCATCCTTAGATATACTGTCTGTCCACTAATGCCCCCATCAGTTATTTTCTTTGATTATTTTCTTCCATTTTGTGAGTTATTTAGAATTCACAGCCAAAGAGTCACTCTAATGTCTCTGACTAAACTACAAAGCCCAGGATTTCATACGGTCCCACCACTGCCATTAAAGTGGAATCAAAGTGCTATTATTGTGTAGTATGAACTTTTTACACCCAAACTCAGCTATTGGAGGTAGAAGGAGAAATGAACAAGCAACACCCACTGGTGTATTTGGCTTCTTATTCAGTGAGGATATAAGTGCAAGAATAGATTTTGGGTCTCACTTGCCAGACTGGAGTGGAAAGGCCAATTTCTTGAAAAAAATAGTGATAAGCAGAGGATAGTATTATAAAATGGAAATTAAGTAGTTACAGATTCATATTCTGTGTTCATAGACGTGTTAGTATTAATAACAGGAAATGAATACTAATTTATGATTGCCTTCACATGCCATCAGACGGCATTTATTTACAGATGAAGTCAATGAAAAATTGGTTTAGTCCTTTTTTAAAAAAACGTACCGCTGTTTAGAACACTCAAGGCTGTGTTTTCCTGTAGATTTGTCATGCCTAATGAATGTTGCTTCAGCCGTCAATCACGTCTTCCAAACCCTGTCACCCTTGGGTTTTTTCACCCCCAGTCACGAACCATCACAGAAATATAAACAAATAAATACAAAACTACACAACTCTTTTCATTGAGCAGCCATGCTATACACGAGGGTAGGAAAATCCCCTGGGAAACTTAAAGGAGGCCAGGATAAATGATAATGTAAGTGCTGTGGACATAGCGGAGCAATAAAGGTGCACCGATGCTGAAGGCCCAGCAGAAAAGTGGTGGCGGCGGAGAGAAATAGACACCATCACATACACTCACAACCCAGTGGAAAAAAACCGGCAATATTAGTAGCCTCAAGGTGCAATTTCCTGGAGCTCTGAGATTGACAGGTCAGTACTAAATGTTGTTAATTTAACTAACTCCAAATTAATGGAAGAGTCTGCTGGGTCTGAACCCCTGAAAACACAGTTTCATTATGGCCTTGCTGGGAAAGGCCTAAATATAGGCATTGACAGTTTTGAGCAAAGTCCGTAGGCTTCGGTGTATTTTTAGCCGCAGGTAAGGCGTCAGAATTTGTGTCATGGCTTAAAGCATGATTAATGGACTCGGCAAGTCACTTGCTCTCCTCCAGCAAACAAACAAACAACCAGGGGGGAAAATGGAGCGAGACACAGTTCTCCAAAAGAAGACAAAGGACAGTTTCATAACCCACTCTAAGTGCTCTTAGTGTATTAGTCTGCTGCTGATATTGGACAGGGGTTGGCTTTGGTTGAAGCCAGAGCAGCACACACACCACACATGGGGCATACACACACAGAGACACAAAATACAAGGATCCCATTTGTTGCTGGCTGTCAGTTTTGAAGCTCCCAGACTGAGCTCAACTGAATTAATTTGGTTTTCATAAGGATCTTGCGAAAGCAAAAACAGTCCCAAAGCGTTGGGTTCTGGATTTATTTGTTGACTTATTTATTGTGCAGTTGTACTACGTGGACTGGTAATATCAAAGACTAATAAACCAAATTGTTGCAAGCTACTGCTGCTGAGCTCCAAAGCTCACTGAAGTCTCATTGTGAATCAAAAGGGGGAAAATGACATTAATCAATAGATAAATGGTACTAGCAGAATACTAGGTCCTGCCCATGTCCAAAGAAAGTTCTAAAACATGGACAATTTTTAGAAATTTTTGCAAAACATCAAAGTCCAGTCTGTGTACAGAACACACACACACATATATCCATACACATACTATATGCACAACTTCTTTCCTGGGGAAAACAATTTGAACCAAATTAAATGCAACATGTACAGAAATCTCATGTGAAAAGGTAAATTTGATTTTTTTATTATTAAGATAAGATTTGTCAATACAATAGACTCTCAGTTAACCAGCATCCATGGAGATTAATAGACACTGGATAAATGCAATTTCTGGTTGCTTGAGAGTTACTGTTAAAATAGGCCAAGCTAATACTATAATACCTCATATTATACCATTCTGTAAACTGACTTGATATTAATATTGAAATACAGTAATGAAAAGCAAATAAAGACAAATCTAATTTATTGTAACACAAATTTAGTGATTTATGCATGTCCTTTAAATTTATTTAAAGTATTATTTCTTCAAAGTTGTTACAGCTTAACCTGAGAATTTTGGTTGCTTGAGTTGCAGTTAACTGCGAGTCTATTGTATTATAATAAAGAATGTGGAATTAACTTTGCAGAATTATAAATAGGATTGGGCTACTTGGAAGTCACATTTACTCCATATGTGCTTAATTTGATTATTGTTATTCTTGTAGTAATAGTATGTAAATGTGGGTTAGTGAGTGGGAAGGGTTTAGGCAGGGGCCGCCAAGCCTTTGATTGTCTGAAATCACCACTTTTGTCTTTTGGGTCTTGCACCTTTGTCTCACATGAAACTGGACACTTGAGTTAATTAGAAAGTCACTAGCATATCCACACCACCATTTCCTCATGGACTGTGCCCTCCCAAGGGGTGTCCATGTAAAGTATTGGTTCTTTGAACTGTCCAATCACCAGCTGTCATTCATACTGCTACGGAAATCTCTTCCTGCTGGCTGTGATGTCAAGGCCTGCCTCTTTTCCAGCCACTCAGGAAAGGGAGTGGGAAGTTTGAATAGCTGTCAGAACTGTAAAAAAATGCCATGCATTTCTCTGTAAATTTGTGTTTGTACATTTTGAAGTGAATGGCTTATACTTGCATCCTTTTTGGCTGAATCGTAATTGTTTGTTTCTCTGTCCTGGCTGATCTGATTTAGCAGATGCTCACTGGGCTCGAACCTCTTCAACAGCGGTCCTAGCTAAAATCACTACACATTGACTTCATTTGGCCAAACACTTGCACTTCTTAGCCCCTCTCATGTGCCAGGAACTGTGCAATCCAATTCATATATCTCAAGGTTCCTCTGCCATTGTATTTTCCCAGGGTTTTTTTTTTTTTACAGTTTGGCAGAGATTTGCATTTGGCTCTACTTACAGTGCGGACTCTCCTTTGCCCCAACTTTCAAAAGGAGCTTCGCAATAGGGATGTTATTTGTCAGGATGGCGATGTCCAGTGCAGTTAATCCTTCACTATTAGGAGTGTTGAGATCCAGTTCTTCAGGTGCGTATTGATAGAGAAGGATCTGGACAGCGTCCAGGTCCTGCTGTTCCACAGCCTCCAGCATGGCTTCACAGCACTGGAAGTTCTGTTGGCCAACACAGAGAGATAAAGAGGGAAAGTGTTAACATAACTATCTCTTCCAGGCCCTTCCCTACTTCTCTTTTATAAACCACCTATTATTCTGTGAGTTAAAATGAATGAAAGCAAAGTTACTAGCTATGTTCCAGCATCTCAACCATTTTCACTCATCTGACCCCCTAGGTGATTTTGGGTGGTTTTTTTTGGAAGCTAATTTAACAGAGGCTTCTCATGCTCTGCTAATACTACTACTACTGCTACTACTACTACTACTACTACTAATTTATTTGTACCCCTCCACTATCTCCCCAAAGGGACTCAGGGCGGCTCGCAAAGCACTCCAAAGTGCTGCACATCAATAAACAATACATAGACACAAAAATGATAATAACATGAAATTACAACTGCAAACACAGCTAAAATAACACATAATAAAATATTATATTTTATATCATAATAAAATGCTACCTTTGTATTTGTAGATTCTTACTGAACTGTTATATTTTTATAACTAACTTCTGAAAACTTGGGAAAAGGCTGTTATTAAACATGTTGAATAAAGAAAATATAAATAACATTTCTTTGTTGCTGTCTGGGTCAGCACAATGTATGTTTGTTGAATGTTATCATAGCTCTATGTTACGGAGGGGAAGAACTGGATGTTTGGAGACTGGGCTTGCATCTACACTGTAAAATTAATGCAGTTTGACATCATTGCCAAGGCTCAATGCTATGGAAGCCTAGGATTTGTAGTTTGGTGAGGCATCAACACTCTTAGGCCAAGAAAGTGAAAGATCCAATAAAATTACAACTCCTATGAGTCTATAGTATTGAGACCTTGCAGTTCATGTGCTATCAAACTGTATTAATTCTACAGTGTGGATTCACCCAGAGTGCAGCAGCAAAAGAATGTTTCTCATCCATGAGGTTTTCTTTTAAATAACAATAAGGTGGTTATTTCAGGCATTAGATTTTGAAGTCATTGAAAGGAAAGCTAATTGCTAATTATTTTTAAATATTGTTCTATTTTATTCCCAGTGAGCGGGATAGCTTGTTCTACAACTTTTGGGTGACACAGTAACTTGGTCAGCCTTGAGTATTATGCACCTTCATTTTTTTCAAGAACTAGCATGTGGAGTGGGATACAAACTATTGGCTGCTTAACCTCAATCACAGTCTAGTCAAGACACCCTCATATTAAAAAGATTGTATGCCCTAATTTGTGGCCATGTTTACTGGTGATTGTGATCTGAAAGTGAATATGAAATTATTGTGATAGGACAAGACTGCTCAATGAAATAAGGATCAGGCTCCTGTTGTATAGAAGAGGGAATGTGTGAAGATGCTACTTGTCATAAGGAAGACCAGCAGAATCTCTGTGTTCTACACAACTGTGAAAGGTTCAAGAGCCCTGTTTCTTCTTGTACCTGGCAACCCGATGACAAGATCAGTTCTGAAATGCACATTGTGTGTCTCAATATTGCTAAATGGTTAGCATTGGCTATAACGTATTGAAATGTCTTTTACATTTCCTTGCAAAATCCATTCAAAAACATTTTGCGATTTTCAGAAAAAAAATGGCTTAAAATGGACCCAAATGTTTACAAGAGAGATTTACACCATGTTCTGTTATTCACTTTGAAATAAATATACTGGGTAGTTCAAAGCGGTTCATTAATAATAATAAATTTAGTCTAGTATTGTGGGTGGATGAAACTAAAGGCCCTTCCACACAGCCATATAATCCAGAATATCAAGGCTGAAAATCCCACAGTATCTGCTTTGAACTGGGTTATCTGAGTCCATACTGCCATATATTCCAGTTCAAAGCAGAGAATGTGGTATTTTATTCAGCTGTGTGGAAGGGGCCTAGAGAACTGTTGAGATCTCCCACATTTGTATGAAAATGTCTGAAATGATCGAAAGATTAGATTAAATATTTTTCCTCTGACAAGAAGGGTTAGGGAAATTCAGGGTAAAATTAAGGGTATATGCAACTTTAAGAACTCTTCCAGATATATCTGAAGAACTGTGAATTTTTGCAGTATAGTTCTTGGGGTTTTCCAGTTGCATTGCCTACACATTCTTTTGCTCCATTTTGGAGGGGAATTGTAGAAGCAAATTTTAGATCGGCAATACAGTTCTTCCAAGAACTTTAAAAACTGTAGCATAGTTTGTTGAAGTGCATTATGATTTGAGGGGCAATTTTTCCCTTCTAACCCCTCCCCCCAAGTTACATTGTTATTTTAAAAAAATCATCCATATTTCACTGAATGATAGTCACTCCTCCTATTTTGAAAGGGGAAAAAGCAGGGGAAGTGCAACAATTATGTGGTGCAATATGGTATTTATTGATGTTATCTAGAGGTATGGCACAAAAGTGTCATTTCACTGATGTACTATAACTTGAAAAAAAATGTAAAGGAGGAAAAGAGAAGAATCTTTTGCTTTGATATGTCTCATCATCATCATCATCATCATCATCATCATTCCACACAAAAGTGGGAATAACGTGTTACAGCTAGTGCTAGAAATCACCAGAAAATAGTCTGGGGAAAAAGAAGTATAACAAAGTTTAAGCCGTCTCCCCCTCTGAAAATTACAGCAGCAAATACAGCATTTTCTCAACAGGAAGAATTAAATCTCCCCTCCTTTCCTTTTCTGGTCTAAATAGTTTATCCACTGCTGCAACTTTGATTGTTAAGATTGTTAAGGAAGCGGTCTGCAAACACTTAGAAACAAATGCAGTCATCGCTAATAGTCAACATGGATTTATCAAAAACAAGTCATGCCAGACTAATCTGATCTCTTTTTTCGATAGAGCTACAAGCTGGGTAGATGCGGGGAATGCCGTGGATGTAGCGTACCTGGATTTCAGTAAGGCCTTCGACAAGGTCCCCCATGACCTTCTGGCAAGGAAACTAGTCCAATGTGGGCTAGGCAAAACTACGGTGAGGTGGATCTGTAATTGGTTAAGTGGACGAACACAGAGAGTGCTGACTAATGCTTCCTCTTCATCTTGGCAAGAAGTGACAAGTGGAGTGCCTCAGGGTTCCGTCCTGGGCCCGGTCCTGTTCAACATCTTTATTAATGACTTAGATGAAGGGCTAGAAGGCATGATCATCAAGTTTGCAGACGACACCAAATTGGGAGGGATAGCCAATAGTCCAGAGGACAGGAGCAGAATTCAAAACGATCTTGACAGATTAGAGAGATGGGCCAAAACTAACAAAATGAAGTTCAACAGTGACAAATGCAAGATAATCCACTTTGGCAGAAAAAATGAAATGCAAAGATACAGAATGGGGGCCGCCTGGCTCGAGAGCAGTACGTGTGAAAAAGATCTTGGAGTCCTCGTGGACAACAAGTTAAACATGAGCCAACAATGTGATGTGGCGGCAAAAAAAGCCAATGGGATTTTGGCCTGCATCAATAGGAGCATAGTGTCTAGATCTAAGGAAGTAATTCTACCCCTCTATTCTGCTTTGGTTAGACCACATCTGGAATATTGTGTCCAATTCTGGGCACCACAATTCAAGAGAGATATTGACAAGCTGGAATGTGTCCAGAGGAGGCGACTAAAATGATCAAGGGTCTGGAGAACAAGCCCTATGAGGAGCGGCATAATAAGTTTAGCCTGAAGAAGAGAAGGCTGAGAGGAGATATGATAGCCATGTATAAATATGTGAGAGGAAGCCACAGGGAGGAGGGAGCAAACTTGTTTCCTGCTTCCTTGGAGACTAGGACGCGGAACAATGGCTTCAAACTACAAGAGAGGAGATTCCATCTGAACATTAGGAAGAACTTCCTGACTGTGAGAGCCGTTCAGCAGTGGAACTCTCTGCCCCGGAGTGTGGTGGAGGCTCCTTCTTTGGAAGCTTTTAAGCAGAGGCTGCATGGCCATCTGTCAGGGGTGATTTGAATGCAATATTCCTGCTTCTTGGCAGGGGGTTGGACTGGATGGCCCATGAGGTCTCTTCCAACTCTTTGATTCTATGATTCTATGATTCTAACTGATGCACTTCATTTTTAAAAAAATCCTGCTTGGTGAATGCAGGAAAGCATTTAATATTAGATGTTGTTTAGTCATTGTGTAGAATAATTGGAGGCATTAGAAATGAAACATTATAATAAAATATTGACCTAAGGTATTTTAGAAACTTTACGACTTGACTTTCAATAAAACGACAGTGGAATACACAATGGGAAGTATTTCAGTTATTGTTGGTAGAATGCAGGGTTGTAGAAGTCCTCAAAAAGAAAGACAACACCAAGATTATTTTACATATGCCAATCCATTGTAGGCCTTCTTTGGGATACCCACATCAAACTAACCATTCCACACAACAATTCATAATGAATGTCATTGTAGTCCTTGGCAGAGAGCAATGTATACATATGTAAATAATTGAGCCAAATGTCTCCAGTCATTGATCCAATCTCTGATCCAAATATCTCATTACATCTGAAGTTTTGAATGTCCTTCAGGTTATTGATGTGGTCGCATAGCTCTAGAGCCATCAGAAGATGAACAGATATTGGACCAATGGACCAAGTTCTTCTAAAAAAGAAGATCTGCAAAATTGTTGTTGTTTTCTAACATTTTTACAGTGAAACAATATTCAGTACCCCAAAAGGAACAGGCAGAAAAAGACAAGTTGTAGGAAACAAAGAAACTTGGCATCTCATAACTGAACTGAAGCAGGTGCAGAAATAGAATATGGCCTCCAGGTTTTTGTTTACAGCAACTTCCTTCTAGCGCTCTGCAATGACCAGCCAAGTTCCTCAGAATTCCCTTTCAGTGTCCCTTAGTGGTAATTATCTAGCAGCATTTTTCCAGTCAGAAGAAAAGACAGAGGAAAAATTGGATGAACGAAGACCCGGATGAGCATTTTGGAAACTCTGAGAGAAGTATGTGACAACGCTAAGAATTGTTGGTCCAAACAGAAATGAGAATTGCTGCAGAAACACAGAGCAGATAATAGCTGCACACAAGCTGCTGTATTG